TTAATGAGGTGTAACATATTGAATTTATTCTTCATATCTTAATTTAATGCAAAATGATATTGTGGTTGTAAATTTAAATAAATTTCAAAAATATTTCACCCGTTAAATGTTATTTTTGTTTCAAATAATTTTTTGTTCAAAACAAATATTAGATGATCATAATGAACCATCAGATCTAAGAACAAATATATCAAGTACTTCAAGAGCATACGAAAATAAAGGATTAGGTGAGAATGTAGATATACAACAAAAGAGTCAAGAAAAAAAAAGTGCAAATTTAGCTGTAGATTATTATTCCTCCAAAAGCTTTTCATCTTCTAGTTCAAATATTGAGTTTAATAATATTTTAACTGAAAATAAAAAAGTGTTACAAGCACTTAAAGATAAGTTTTTTTTAAATATAAGAGAACAATCATTTACAGATCTTATCCATTTTAACTTAGACAAAAATTCTAAATATCGTAACATTCGCCGGTGCATAAGATTATATTCTGAATGGTTTAAAACTTTTACAAATGAAACTTTTGAACTTCTTATGAATGACATTGTAACTCTTTATCTGTCAGAAAATACTAAAAAGTTTTTAGTTGAATTGGTTGAATTTCTTAGAGAAGTTGCACAGTTTATTGTTAGCTTAAAAAAACATTTTTATCTACGAAAACACAATAAGTATAATGTAATTAGTAATTTAACATTAATTGAAACTACAATGAATGAAATAATTTTAAAATTTGACTCTAAAGAGATTGAAATTTTTTTGAAGCAAGCTATAAAAAAAAATGACAATGCCAAGTTTTCTGATTTAAATGTTCAAAAAGTTTTATCGGAGATATTGTACAACATTGAGTGGTTTGAAAATAAATATAAACAATATGTTTATTATATTGTAAGATTCAAAGATTTTTTGAAGAAACTGTAAATAAATATTTTTTTATCATAATTTTATAACATTGTATAGGCTTTTTTTAAAGACGGTGTAGGCGGTGTAGCTTTTTAAAATAATTTTTTAACCCTTATTCTATGTAAAAATAATGTATACATAAAAGAGCAAATAATTTGTATCTTTTACAATAAGTTAAAATATAAATACACGTTATTTTGAGTATATAAGTTTTTTTATTATTATAATAAAAACATTTGTTGTTCATCGTATTAATTTTAGTAAACGTTTTACTATCTAGATATAGACATAGTTGTGGCGAGACAATTACTCAAACTGAACAAATGCGACCCATGTTACATATACACCAGA